CCCTCCCTCACGCCGCTCGCACTTCCTCCAACACCTGCTACCACGCGCGTGTATCGGAACGAAAGGTCGTTTCTGCTGCGGACACACGACTCGCTTGTTTCTGGTGAAGAAACGTGACTCCCTTCGCGCATTGGAAAATGAAGGGTTGCTGGTTTACATTAGGGATACCGTAAATGTCTAGAAAAGCAACCCTTGGATGTGACATTAACACGAACATATCGTATTAGTTGGTTAAGATGTTGATTTTTTAACGCTTTAGTTTTATTTCGTTACTTTAGTTTAACGTTACTTTAGTTATTAGTTGGAAAGGGAATTTTTTAACGCTTAGAGCTGCCGTAAAGCTACGTAGGTTAATTTGGATTATTGGATTATGGATATTCTGGATTTTTGACGTAAGAATTACTAACTTCAGTTGCAGAAGTGACGTCAAAAATGTAGGTCATACATTGAAAGCTCGTAATATACGAATATTGGTTTGGTATATGTAAAAACAATAAGCTTTTCTATTTTTCATAGATGCCGTGATAGAAGTATCCTCATATGAGAGCTCACATGTTCTACTTGAACTTGATTTGCGAGTGTTTGTACAGCAGTTGCCAGAAGATTTCAAAAAACGTATCATATTTCGCCCAAGTGCTATATGTCAATCTACACCAAATAGTATATGCGCACATGAGGAAAGAATAGAGCACGACTCAACTGCTCTTTTTTCCCGTCCTTCAACAAAATCGACGTTGTGCATTGTCAGCAGAAAGCGGTGTGTTGCACTTACAGCAGCGTGGCCGACAAGGGGCCCCTGCTCATGGAAGTATGGCCGCTATCTTATCAGCAGATAGGCAATGACTCACCGAAATATGTGTCGCTATGCCACCATCAGGAAATCGGCTGACGGGATATGCCTGGTTCATAGGTTGTCGGTGTTGTCGATGTCGGTTGGCACTGCTTTCATATTGCATTCTGGAAACAGACAGCATGTTTTTTTTCACTATCCGTATTTCTAGGAAATAAAAGAAAATATAAAGTTGTATTAAGGAATTAGTTTAAATTCTGCTAATATTTCCCCTCAAGTGTCAATGGAAGTAAATTATAATATCCTTTTTGACATCGTTGAAGTATTGGAGGCGTTGTGCTATCAGTATCTGATGACTAAGACTCATAACTATAGACTGAGTCATGTGGAGTTCTGTGATTGAATTCTACGTGTTTTTGCCAAGTGTCCAGGAAATTCGTAAACCTTTAATCATGAATACTGAATAAGATTAATTCTACTGTCAAATAAAAATGCAGCTCGAAACCCTAATCATAATATCGAAACTTCAACTATCGACGTTTTCTAATTACCTGATTATATCCGCACGACTTGAGTTGCTATGCATACAAGAAAGTTGCCTCTTTTACATCCTTAACAGCAATCGAACCAAACTGCAATTAAGCGTTCATCAGATAGACCCGTAGCATTTTTGCAAAATGCTGCATGTTCATTTTCCGTTTTCACTTTCGTAGTCATTTAGGGAACAAAATAATCGTAGAGAAATTATATCCACATTACATCTTTTGTGAGAGTATCCTCCCACTTATTAAGCCTGGCTTTCAAATAGCGTCCAGCCGTCTTCCTCATCATTGTCCTTTTGCTCGGCACTTGTGAGCCTCGCCAGTTGCAAGCAGACTGCTTGACGTCCCACGGGTTCTCGTGCTATTGAAGATCTCGTCCCTTCGAGACTCGCTACTTCGCTCCAGCGGCGGACGCCGTTCAGAATAGGCTAAAGTTTCCCTTCTTCGTGAGCCCCTTCAGTGCTGAATGGCCAGCATCTCGGTAACCAACAGCTGCGTCCCGTGGTAGCCGCTTGCGAACAGGTGTGCTGTAGGGAATAATACTATCACTCTTGAGGGATTTCTAGAGAGCGAAAAAAATGAGAAATTATGGATAGGTGTGTGCTATAACCGTAGTGTGCGATCTGCAAATTGATTACTAAAGATAAATTATATTATGTCATATATGAGAAATTTCTGTTGTTTTCAAACATTCTATTCTGTACGAAGAAACGAGTCATGTGATTATATAATTTTTGATTGATATTGATAACAATTATTTTCGGGTAAGTAGGAGGCGGGAGAGTAGTAATATGAAATGAAAATTGATGTTTCATAACTCATTAGGTTGACAAAACAGAGAAAAGCAATTTTATTAGGTAAGTATGAGAACAGCAATTAGATAATTCACAATGTGACTCTATGCTTTCGAAACATAATATCAAGGAACAGGAGCACACAAATTTTATTGGTATAACTTCTGTTAAAGTATGTAGTAGTACGAATTCCAGCTCTTGGTAAGCCAACTCAATTAATGTTGATGAACACGGCTGTGTGGGATGAAAATCAAGCTTTGTGTTTACATGAAACCATTTGGCACATTTTGTTAACGAACATTCTACATTTATCCGAAGTTTCATTTAATTAAATTTTTCATCGGTTCATCAATTTATATGGGAGCTGTTTAGAATGCAAACTAGTTTGCTCAAAACGCAGCAAAATGAACATACCAAGTATCAACACATAGGAACCTACAAACGGGCCTACAATGAACACACATTGTAACACGAGTTTAATACAAGCGCTCGACTGCCGACTGTTGATGAATGCGGACGTACACGCGGATATTTCCCCTTAACACGAGGCGGAGACCCTCCCAGTTATCTGTCTGACTTGATAATGCGCCGTATGCAAAACGACAAGTTCGGGCTCCCTCGGAATCTCCGTGGTGACGTCATGAAACCTTACGCTCCGGCAGCAGGTGGCGAAGCTGCGGTGGCGGTGGCGGCGGAGAACCCGCACAGGTGTTCAGTGCCACACAATGCAATCGATGTCGTGGAGGGCGGGAGGGGAGTCGCCTGGCGAAGGAGAAGAAGGGAGGGAGGCGAGGAGCTGAATGCGGAGAGTCGAGTCGAGGGGGACGAGAAAAAGACCGACGAGGGAGGAGGAGGTCAGAGCGAAACCTGGATTGGGTGGAGTTGGGTTTGTGGGGGTTTTAGTGAGGTTGGAGAATGGAAATCGATAGTCGCTAATTCCGGTTGATGGAATGGTTATTGGAACACTCTGCGGACACGTGTCATTTTGTTTTGTTGTAGCGATGATTTGATTTAACTGACTTATGGGAGGAATTTTGGGTTGTATGGTTTACAAGCTTTTGAGAGTAATCTTGTGGACAATGTCAAATTTCTCTTATATTGTATTACTGCTTTCAGTCATTTCACGTACTTTGCATTCGACCATACGTATTTCACCAGACTCACGAAACATTTCTCTCTTTTTTTGCATTCAAAAGGATTATGATTAACATATATTAATTGCAACCTTATAGCAAAAAGGTCCAGCAAGAAGAACCGTAGGTGTATTCTATATTTCTCTATTCTGTACCTTTTGTATTTCTGTTCTTTTTTTTTGTGTGTGTCGCTTTTCTCTATTCTGTATGTTTGTCTTTCAATTATTTTCTCCCCTACGTCTTCTCTTAATTGCAATATTTCACTCTCTCAGTTGTGTTCATTCCTGCCACAATTCTGTTATCAGTGCGGTGGAGCTCCCGCCCTTGTGAAGAACTATTCGGCAACAGCGACCGAACGGTTATATTCAGCTGGCACCTGCCGCCAGCGCTCTCAATAGGGACGTCGCCCCCTTTAAAGTGAACCTCTCGTGAGGCACTTAGATAATTGGCACGATAGCGCATGAAGCCAGTGGATCGATCATTTGGGGGCGAGGGGTGACCCTTTTCCCTATGCTATCGTCACGTCCACATCAAAGAAGAAGTTTGAAATTTTAATTATTTAGAAGATATCCAATTCCGAATGTATTATTAATCCTTAAATATATGTCATCATTAACTTGCCGTTTTATAATCTTAGTTTTGAAGAAGAGTTGCATGTACTAAATGAAATTTTAAAACTGTTTTAACAATAATTTCTTCTTTCTTATAACTTATATCGTACAATCTGTAAACAATAAAAGAAAGATTTCTACATTGTGCTCTCATCTTTTGTTGCCAAAAAGCTGGGCACCTCTCTTGTAAGTTTTAAGAAGGCACTCTTCCTTTCTCCTTTTTACCTCCTACCCGTCGGCGTCCCTAACCTTCGCGCTTTGCTTTTTTTTGGGTCTTCCAAAGATCAACCTCTCCCCTCTCTTGCGGTACCTGCTCAAACTACCAGAGGAAGAGCATGGCAGGGGCTGCAGGGCGCCGCAGGCGCAGGCTCCACGTTGTGCGCACACGTACTCTGCCTCCCCGTCCCCACCCGCGGGCCGCCTCCAGCGCATTGTGGACTTTTGTGAGACCCTGCGCAGCCTCCGCAGACAGGGACGCGGTCGTAAATCACGAGCCCCCCCTCCCCCCAGCACCCCGTGCCCCCCTTCCCCCGGGTCGGTGGCCCGCGCGTGGAACCGCGGGAGCCGCCGAAATTCGTTCTGGGCCCACGCGGTGTCGGGGGCAACTTGCGATGGAGGAAGGGGTGTGTCACGTAGTGGGTGTTGGTGTGTGGGGTGTAGGAAGGAGTCGGGCTGAGGAAGCGTGAGAAGCAGCGCTGACGGCTGTTTATGTTCCGCTCGGGGAGATGAAGTGGCGTCGGGGGCGGCTTAGTGGGTGCACTCGTGGAGTGGGGCGTTGAAGGACGGGGGATTTATGGGCTCAGAACGAGCGCTGACATCGCTATGGCAAGTGCGGCCGGCGTAGAAGGAAGGACGGTCTGTGGTTGGAGAAAGCTGAAAAAGTACTTTCCACATGTTTATACATGGCAGTGCGTACCAAGAGGGTGTAATCACTGTTCCACTGACTGTCACCACCGCCACTTATCGTATTTTCTGTACAAAAAAATAAACGAAGAAAGGTTTTGAAGAATCTATTACCTTTTCTTAGGGCTACTAATCTACGCTCTATATCCTCTTCACACCTTTTCCTAACCGTTTATAACTGTCTCCTCCAATCAGGTACTTCTTAACACCATAGACTGAAAGCTTGTCCAAAACATCCGAATCCAGGGCTTGATTCGAACCAGTTGCCGCTCGAAACAAAACTTAAGTTCTTTGAGTTCAAACACGAATTCGACTTCTCAGTTTAACGAGACAGTTTTCGCTAGGTGAACCCAGTCATCCATATCCGAATTCGCTCGGCTCCAACGTGTGCGAGGGCGTCAGTTTCCGAGCCCGCCCGCGGCTGCACACGCTAGTGTACCTTCCTTGGGCGCTCGCATCCAAAGAGTAACGACTATCCACGGCCTCGTGGCCTTGGTTCGCCGCACCGTCATTACGTTCGTTACGACACAGCGTCGCAACAGCAATTACGCCGAGGCGACAGCGGCGGCGAGGGCAGCCCGCCTCCTCGAGACGGCGCGACGCTGCACGGCGGGAGCAGGTTATTGTGATTCCGCCGCCTTCGTTTTAGTAAGTGGCGGTGATTAGGCATTTAGCATCTGATGGTATACATTGTTAAGAGTTGCGAGTAAACAATGTAGTCATCTCTAGATTTACTTTCAATCTGTTGTAAACTGACGCTCGGCGCTGTTATTTTCTTCTGAAGAAAGATTAATGGGGACTTAATATTCAGAACTGCGTAAAGCACTTCCAAGTATGTATAAATACACAGAGTTGTTGGTCTCAAATCGTTAATATGCATTTAATAGCTTTGTGCTTAAGGCTGGAGAGCCGTGCAGTGTACTTAATTATTGGCGGCGCGGTACTCGATGTCATATGTTACACATCGTACTCGGGCTCCTGATGGCAGATTTTCCCCCCTTCGGGGTTTGCTTCCACACCCGTACCTAATGGTTTCTTTCCCGCGGCGTTGATGCGATGGGGAGACCATTTGGGGTGAATACCAAATTTCGAAAGTTTAGAACCCGATAGGGTGTAGGTATTGTAATGGTTTAAAGGCCTTCGGCCTAGCCATATAGTGACAAGTTATTTAATTTATATGTGTAATAATTACTTCACCTATGACGCAAGTGAATAATCACCTATTTTCACGTGTCTCCGAAAACGTACTCTCGGTACGAGAATGTATGCGCCATTATGTTTCATCTATTCTTCTTGAAGTATTAAATAAATAAATAAATAATATATCGTTTGCCCTTGCCAGAAAATGTAGCATAACGTAGCAAATATGGTTCGTAATAATATAGAATGGGTAAGGGTGCGGGTCGGAAAGGAGTTCGCAAACAGCCTAACGCAGGCAGAGAGGGAAGGCAGGGGTCACGCCTCCTCCAATGGGGGACGCTCCTTGACCGTGGAGAGGGGCAGAGGCGTGGAGTGACCGCTCCTCCCGCGAGGGTATCGAGTTTCCGGCCGCGCTCCTGGCGGGCGAACCGCGCGGCGCGGCGCGTGAAATAGAGGTCGGCGAAGTGCGGCGCGCCGTCACCCCCTGCGTCTCCGAAACGACGCCCCTGGGACGATGAATTCTCATCCCAAGGCAGCTGCCTGTCGCCGGGGCCACTTGCGGCTCGCCGCCACCCAACAAACACACACGCCCCCGGAGTCACATTGGCGCGTAAATGGGGAAGAATCGCCTATTCTTCACGTGCTCCAGGAAACGTATAGTTCAGTATTCGAGAAAGCATGTGCCATTGTTATTTCGTCTGTTCTTCTTGAATCACGCCAGGCATTGTAAATGATGGTGAGAAGTTTTCTTCTCACAAAGATAAGGGAAGGTAGTGAATCAAAAGAGGACACGTGACCATCTCAATAAATACCTCGCATCTCTAAATGTTGAGATCACCTAAATGAGGAGGAAGGGGATTAATAATAAAGATCTCAGGCAGGTGGCTGGTGAGATAATGACACATATTGCCGTGTATGTCACTTGTCATCGTCTGACCTGCCAGTGCTAGCTAGTGGAAACCAGTTTTAAAAAATAAATGCAAAGAAACTAACGAGAATTTTGCCTCCATGTTTGCAGTCACCGAGACAACCATCTAGGAAGCAAAATAAATCTTTTTTGTGAATTTCAGTTGGCAGTTCAGTGTATATAGCACTGGATTTTCCACTGACATTACAAGAACTAGCGGGACCAAATCAGGAAAATTAACGTTTTGTCTTCACGCATCAAATACGATAGGTTATTCATGTACCAAATGAAGTTCTGGAAGATGGTGCTTTGGAGTCTTTGGTGGAAGTGGCTTCGGCCTCCTCATGCTTGTTAGTGTCAAGGCGGCGTGCCTCTAACACACCCTATCGAGCAGGACTAGCGTCGGTAATGAGCCTTAATTAGCGTGGGCTTGGATAGGTTTTTGCGCTCGCAAATTACCGTCGCTTTCATGCGAAGGGGCACCTCTCCCGGAATATGGTGTTTGAGAAAAGAGACGCTTAGTGATTGCTTGAACACGCCACTGGTTCGCGGCACCAGGATTCTCCTTCAGTCGAATAGACTCGATTCGTAAGCTATTATGGCTCGCTAAACATCAAAATAATTCTGTTGCTTGTCGGTGACTTCCGCTAGCTCTCTCATTGATTCACTTCTTTGATGGAATTAAGAAATTTGGTCACTTTCGTGTTTTAAAAATTTTGCTCTTAAATGATTCAAAAACATTTTTCAGGTGCACCCGTAAGGTCAACATTATCCATACTTGAAGTAAAATTACTTTCATAAAGTTACATAGTTAACTGGAAAATAAATGAGCTTGAATGTGATGTTTAAAACTATATTAATAAACTATAAATATTCGTAACTATCTGGAAGGAACCATTATTGTTATTCCTTTTATACGTTAACTCACCTTCATTTATTATGTGTGACAATAACGGTACCATGTATTTTCGCAAGATACACAATAACTTAAATCTAACCTCAAGAAAGCATAACATTATTTTAACATATATTTCAAAATTAAGGGCTCGTATTTCTTTAATAGATGATCATCGATTTTCTCGATGTGTAGCCTCGCACTAGAGTATATCTTTGCATTACCGCCTACATTTTCCTCTAACGTTATTCTCAAGGTAATTCATAGAACTTTTGAAGCATATGACCTCGCGTTAAACAGGAAATGATTCTTTAAGTTTTTTCGACTTTTGCGAGCATCTGCATTTCCTCAGCTCATTCAGTTACAATATTCCAAGGTCTGTTCTAGGAACGCGATCCCAGTCTCCCGCATGCAATGAGAGCGCGCTACCGGAAACCCCTCACACCACTTGCACAGTAGCCTCGCCGAGAGACCTCGATTGCAGCATTTTTCACCCCAGATTTCCCTAGCAACGGTCGGGAGCCGCCCCGGCGTGGCGCCGACGGCGTCTGTCGCCTGGACACGCCTCGCGGTTCACTATTCACCGCCCGCCAAAGCGCCGCCATTTGCGTTGTTAGCATTCTCGGGTTATGCCGTCGCATAACGCGATGACGCCTTGCATATAGATTGGGGCGTGGCCTTGCAAGCGCGTCCCGACGCCTGATAATCTACCCCGACGCACGTGCTGCGGCGATATTTTTTCGAGATTTTAGTTTGAATCGAACGTTTTGACCTTGGAACCGCGCTTAACGCCACTTTGCCGTGCTGTGTTTGGCACAGGGTGATCGGGCGATCGCTACAGCCGCCGGCGTCTATCTGCTCCCACAGATCCGGAAGATGACGACGAGAGAGAAGACGGCGGAGGCGGGGGAGGAGACGGCGGAGGAGGCGGGCCTGAGGGCCGCGCTGGACTGCTGCCTGTCCAGGCTGAGTTAGTCGCAGCCATCCCAGACCTGGTGGCCGGTCTGCCCGGCGTTATTCCTGCCCCGCCGCCGCCGCCCCCAGGGCTCCCGCCGCCGCCCCCCGCACGAGGGGCGGTCCGCGCCGACGCGGCAGGCGGCCACACCGCACCACAACAACCAACAGCAGCAGCCAGCGCCGAGCAGAACCTCCTCAAACAGCCAGCAGCTTGCCGCACTCAACAACAACCACCGCAGCAGCTAGCAACACGCAACGCCTCCGCACAAAGACGCGCGGAGGCGAGAATTCTCAAACAGGCGAGGCAAACAACAGCAGCAGCGGAGACGGCGCTTCAGCGCTCGGCCGCCGACAGCCGGTCAGTGGCCCCGCCCCCGCGCGCGCTGCTCGCCGCCGCGCTGCCCGCCCACCGCCTTCCGCGACTGGTAGACGCAGGTGAGCGACGTGGGAGCTGCGCCGGATCGCCGACGCAGTTCGAGAACTCCGTCGCAGTGGGGAGTGTTCCTCTTGTTTTAATAGCGCGGGTCACGATTACCAGTCTAACTTTGTGCAAAGTGTTCTATACCGTGATCTTATTCTAAGCAGTCTTAAAGATCGTTAACTTACCCAAATACATTTATTCATTGCAAACACAATTATTAATTCAATATGAAAAATCGATTCCGAAAAAAATATTACTGTGGGTGATTTTTTTAAGTTAGTTTGGCGTTCATTTTTGTCTGCAAACATTTTTAAAATGACCTTAATTAAGTCAGAAACATTTGTGTATATTGTAGTTTTTTCTTTTTCGGAATCGTACCTTTTCCCCTCGCTTCGGCCTCATTGCAATTAGTATTAAAACTGGGTAATTTTGATATTTTGTGTCAAGATGCGTACGTTAAAAAAATTACGATTCTTCATTAAAAAATCATATGTAGAACAGAAAAATTCGTTGTAATCTTCCATGTATTTTCTACATCCCTGTTGTCAGTCTTCGTAGGCAGGTACACTAACAACTTGAGGTCATCACCACGTTGAATCATGTGTATTCTTCACACATGTACCAAATACATCAATTGAGACAATTAGTCAATCAGCCAGATATATGGCTGCTATTTTCGTGGCGGAGGTGCCTTACGCAGATGCGCGCCGAGCCATATTTGTATTTCATGACGGAATGGTTCCTTCTCTCCCGAGTGTGAATTAACGGCCATTTTTATTAATATTTTATTATTATTATTATTCATTAGATTATTAATTATTATTTATTATTACTATTATTTATTATTTTATTATTCATTATTATTATTATTAATTGATTATTTGGTATTATTATTATCTTTCGGGTGACGCTTACCAGGATTGATATGTCACTGTTGTTGCAGAGCATAATTTGTGCGCTCTCCGAGTACCTATCCCCAGCTTCATGTCCAGGGTTTACTTGTTTTGCTGTGATTAGTGATTCAAGAAAGTCGCGTTCCAGCACTGCTAAGGTCATTTCCTCAGTATACTTGTTTCTCTATTCGCGGGACGATGCGATGAGTCGGATTTGGAGATATTCGCGCCAAACAACTACTGGGCTTCGCGTGAGATATTTCCCAAAAACCAATGGACTCTCCCTACCAGTGTGGCAATCCTCCCGAACGAGGACCAGCTCTAAACTCACCGGCTGTGTCGCTTCCCGACATGTGGCAGTAGTATATGTGCATGATTAATTGTGTCTATGTTAAGTAAGAGGGTGAGAAATGGGACAAGATAGAAAGAATGAAAGATAGCGGCTTGCGGTCGTGCGCTCTGACGTAGGCATTTCACTGTTGATGTTGATCGGATGAAAAACTACGAAAAAATACCAATCAGAGCAAGCCGGTCGCTAGAATTATCGACCTAGCTTTACCAAACTAGAGTCGAAAATCCTCCCACTGCAACGGGTGGATTCTCGCGGACGCGGCCATCCGCAGGTCAAGAGGGTGATTACTTAGTCTGAATATCGGTGCTAAAGCTGCTGTTTCGCTCGAGCTCCTGCTCGCCCTGGCGCCAGCTGCAAAAGCCGCTCCTCTGTCCGCTGCCCCGCCGCCCTTCCCGGCCCGGCGTGTACAATGGCGATGTAAGCAGCGCGGCTTAAGACGAATATCGGGACGTTTTAACTCGCGCCGTCTGCCGCCGTCGCGCCAGACTGGGAGACCGCGGTCCGCCGGAGCCGCGAACCGGCAATATTCTTCTCGATCGGCCGCCGCATTCTCTGGACTGCGCCGTCTCGCTCACTCCATTCCACCCCCATCCCTGCCCCAATCTTCCCGCATCGCCCCTACTTCGCCATCGCCCCCTGTGTCCCGCATAACGTTTCTCTTTCGGCTACGATCCAACTCACACTGATTGAGGAGCCGCTCCCCAATCTGTTGTCTGGGCGG